GTCTACTTCAAATATACATAATCATATTTTAAAGTCTTTGATTCTCAACTATTAAATAGTTTTGCATTTTGCCTTTAACTGGTGGGATGTGCTCAAAATAACAAACTTAAAAATAATCAATGTAAAAATGTATGGCTTTTTATGGAAATGAAGAAGAGTTCCTGCTCCTAATTAGGCATCAGTTCATCAAGTGTATTTCCTCTAAAGGTTCCCACTGAACTGCCTTCAGACAAAGCCTCCAGCGACGTCAAGATGGAGTCTTCAGGTTTACCTCACGAGACCACCATTTAAGTCTTTACCGTCTCCAACAGCACATCGAACATCAGAACTGATCACAGACCGTCCTGAGATGACTTGAAATCTCTTTCTGCAGTAATCATGTTATAGTACAATTTTCAGTGAAAACAGACTTTAGTAATTGTTCACAAATATACTGTGACTTCAATCTAGGTTGAAAAGGACAACGTTTACCTTCAGTACGTCTCTTAATTATCAAAGCATGGTACTTTTTATCTGTTTCAAAAACTGTGGACCAAATATTCCGTATTTAAGAGGCTTTCTAATGCCCGTATGCACAATCCTGTTAGTGTGATTAGACAGCATGTTTGTTTGCTTCGTCTCAAGGACCTTTCTGATTGTGTGTGTGTACTGTAAAGCAATTTTGTTCATGTTGTGAAACACCCAAGGCCATGAACTCCTATTTTATTTATTCAGGATGATGAAGAATTGCCATGCTTTAAATGAAAAGTGTTCTGCAATCTAAAAAGCATCGCTCGTAAAGCGTCCACAGTAAGTGTGACATCATTTTAAGTGCTTATGTAATCATCGCAAGCTAAAATCAAATATTGTGACCTATCACACCATTAACAGAGATCAGACTTGTTTAGTTTTTTCAGGAAAGCACAAAATGAACCTGTCGGCATTTGTACCACATAAGAATGCTTCCTTTAAAGGAATGTAATCTGTCTATGAGAGTGCATTCCTTACAGGCCTAGCGAGGTTTCGTGAAAATGCCATACCTCAGATGTGTGGTAGAAAAAAGCACTATTGTTTTATACGCCTAGGTTTACTTTCCATTAACTAATTTTTGTATTGTAGAAGCATATTTATTGAAAAGACGTCTTTTTCAGAATTGTTTTTGTATTTATTATTATTTTTTTGCTTTTATCTTTACTGTTTCTACTTAGTGTACTTGGCGGTTAATGAAGGCAACTGTGCATATTGGTCTTTCACAGGATTACCACAAATGATGCTGGGAAATTCAGTGTAAAGTACCACTTTCTGCAAAAGCTCATGTCTCATCTTTTCATCTCTGCTGTTGTAACAATAAAAATAATATTGCTAAACAAAATGTGATTTGTTGGTTTTTGTATAGAGCAATATATTGCTTATATATTAAATCAAATGGCAGGGGGTTTTAAGCAATATATTCAGTTGAAATCAGTAGTATTAGCCTTCCTGAATTATTAGCCCCTCTGTACGTTTTTTCTACAGTTTCTGTTTAACATAAAAAATTTCTAAATATAACATTTCTAAATCTAATATTTTAATAACTCATCTCTAATAACTGATTCTTTTTATCTTTGACTGTACGTAATGTTATACAAGATAGTATTCAGCTTACAGTGCAATGTTAAGGTTTTATTGGGTTAACTAGGGTAAATAGTGTGCGTGTGTGTGTGTGTGTGTATATATATATATATATATATATATATATATATATATATATATATATATATATATATATGATTATTAAGATAAGTTAACCATTTTAGACCTATAAAGTACATTTCCCTGTAAATCTTCCATAAATGAGACAAAAATAATAATGCCAATAAACTTTTTTGTCCATTTCAATAGGTATCAGGTCAAAACAGTTGTACTTTAAAAACAATGTACTAACATGAAAATAAAAATAAAATAATATTCTAAATAAACTCAACTTTATTTCTGAAGGGTTTTAAATTAACAACAGCATACGGTACATATAAACAATGTATCATAAACACATGCAGAACCTCCCAAATACATACAAAACATGATAGGCTAATGAACATAAGTGTTTTCATTTACCTCTGAAGTGACTCTAAAGTGACTAGTAAAGTATCTTACACTGTTTTTTTAGGACAGTATAAGATCAAATTGTTATTCTGAAGGTTACAACTTAATACAGACAATAAACCATTTTAACTTCAAAATTTTAGGTTTTTATTATACGGACTACACATTATTTGAATCCATTGTTTTAAATAATCAATAAAAATTACTAGGGATAGTTCACCCAAAATTTTTAATTCTGTCATTACTCACTCTTCATCTGTTCCTTTTTAAGTTTCTTTGAACTCAAAAGAAGATAGTATTTGTTTTATAGCTTTATATAGCTTTATTCAAAATACTTTGTGTTTCAACAGAAAAAACAAGAAACTCATACAGGTTTAGGATCACTTGAGGTTGAATAAGTGAACAAACCTTTTAAAGTCTGCTTGATTTAAAGCTTGCAATCCGCCTCATTTTAAAATCTGACAGGCATCAATATAGACGCGTGAAAAACTAACTTATACTGTAAAAAAAGATAGCACTCATCACATTGATTATAATTATTCAATTTATTTTTTCTCATTTTTGGGTCCCTTAGACAGCCTTTCTTTTTTCTTTCTTTTTTGAGGGACGTTTTAGAAAGTATATTAAGTAGAACGTTTAAAAGAAGCGAGGGGAAATCAAACACGAAACAATCGCGTCCTCTAGTGGTCACATATAAACACTTGTCATCAAATGCACTTTTCTGCATTAAAGAGATAGTTCACTTCCAAATTAAATTTACTTACGATTTACTCTCCCTTAAGCTGTTCCATACCATTATGAGTTTGTTATCTGATGAACACTATCAAAAATATTTTGAAGAAAGCTGAAAACTTGCAACCATCGTAGTAGTAGTAGTAGTAGTAAAAAATATTATACAGCACTTTGAGAGGACTCATTCTACTCATATCCTCTCTTTTGGAGATCTGTGAGAAATAGGGTGTAGTTGCAAACCACTTTAAAATGTGTTTTAGATTCTTAACCATGTTTTAAACACTATTGTCATATTTATTGATTCTCTAGTGTAAAACCTTAATGAAAGAACGTTACTTAAAAAGGGATAGATCTTTCCTATGTTGAACACAAAAGAAGATATTTTGAAGAAAGCTAAACAATCTGTAACCATAGACTTCCTTAGAATTTGTTATTCCTATAAAAAAGTTGATTGTTACAGGCTTTCAGCTTGTTTCGAAATATCTTCTTTTAGGTTCAACAGAAGAAAGAAACTCATAAATGTTTCCAATAGTTGTCAAGTAGCCTAAACATTTCTCATTTGCATGTAATGGTCTATCTTGGTGTACAAGTACAAAATAATTAGAGCCATATAGTCTGTGCATTGGATCCTAAAATACATTAAAAAAAACAGATGAACTATTAAAAATCAACAAAAACATTTAATAAAATGACCAAAATAAAAGTAAAGAGTTCAGTCTCAGTCTGGTAAATAAAACATCCACTATTCTCTTTGCTGTAATATAGTTACCAATAAATTGTGACACATCTAAATAAAAAACCTGAGTTTATGGTGGTGTTAAAGAGAGGTGGACATTGTAACATAAAATTATACAGAAAGCATTAAAAAACAGCAGTAAAATACTAAAATATTTTAAAGGTAGGCCTAGTTTACTCAAAAATGAAAAAATGTTCTCTGTTTACTCAAGTGGTGTAAAACGTATGATTGTCTAATTCCACTGAACACTGAATAAGATATTTTGAAGAAAGCTGAAAACCTGTCGGCTGTCACCATCTTCCATTGTAGGAAAATAAATATCAGTCAGTGGTTACAGATTTCCAGCTTTCTTCAGAATAAGATAAAAACATGTCAAACATGCCAAGAAAGCCAAACATGTTTGAAACAAGTGAGGGATGTGCAAGTAAAACAGAATTTCACTTTTGGGGCGAATTATCGCTTTAACTTGCATGTGAGGGCATTTATTGATATCCAATCTAATGTAAAACCTGAATGAAATAATGAACGTTACCTAAAGAGAGCTAGAACACACCAAAAAATTAAAATTAAATTGTTTATATGTGTATATAATTATTATTATTAGATTTTTTTTTAAGAAAGCTGGAAACGTGTAACCTCTGACTTCCTTAGTACGCTATTTGTTTTTTCTACTATGGAAGTCAATACAGGATTTTTCTTCAACACATATTATTTTGTGTTCAACAGCTGAAAGAAACTCATAAATGTTTCAAATAGTTGTCAAGTAGCCTAAACATTTCTCATTTTTTATAAAATTATATGGAAAACATTCAATAAAACAGCAGTATCTCAAATACTTAAAATATTTTGAGGCCTATACCTCACCCACAAATGAAAATGTACTCCCTTTTACTCAAGTGGTTTTAAACCTTTTAAACCTTCATAATTGTCTTTATTTTGCTGTAACCATCTTCCATTGTAGAAAAAACAAATAGCCTACTATCAGTCAGTGGTTACAGGATTCTAACTTTCTTTAAAATAAGCAAGAAACATGTCAAACAAGTCAAGAAAGTCAAACATGTTGGAAACAAGAAAAGGGCGAGTAAATAAAACAGAACTTTAACTTTTGGGCGAATTTTAACTTGCATGTGTTTTGAGGGCATTTATTGACGAAAAGGATTAAAATGCGCTAATTATTTTACTTCTTAGAAAAGAGAATCGATAATTAAACAGTTGATGATTTCAATGTGACTTTTAGAAAATGTATCTTTGCATTGTCTATCGCTTTAAATGCACAATTTAAAAGCTCACACAAAAACCCCCAGCTGGATACTCAACAAAGATTCACGCCCACATCCGCTATGTTGACCAATCGCATACATGTAAGTTTACCTTATATGGAATTGAGCCCGCCTTACTTTGTTGCTTCATCCAATGAAAACCCGTCAAAGCGTGATTGGCTGTTGTTTATGGCAATACAATAACAGTATCAAAAACGCTAGAGTGAGTGACCATTTGTTGAGACCGTCGGTGAACGCGGCAACACGCCTACATGGGAAGATAAATCATTCATTGATACTTTACAATCAAATGTTAAATTGATTATACAGCCCGTGTTTCCTCTTCGGCAGTCGGACGCCTCCTCGGTGTTTTTAACCAAAGAACGATTAATTTAGTTCCTGCGGAGATCCGAAGCTGAACGCCAAACTACAATATGCAGCTTATTGGGAATAAATGACATTTTCTGAATTTCATCTCCTCTGCACGCACCTTCAGCCATTGGTTTCTACAGAAATGGTACCTAAAGCCATTTTTTCTATCCTTGGATCCTCTCTAAGCCACCAAAATTTTTACACTTGAGCAGAACTGAGAGGTTTTGGCACATTAATATGCATGCTCGGGGCGCAACATGTCTTTGTACATGAATGCTGGGCGATCATAAGTGATTTGGGGAACAGCAAGAGGAACCCCCACCATCGGAAGACTTCTAACAATGACCGGACCAAGCGCCACCAGCAGCGGCTCCGCGGCCAAGATCAGTAGACACGGACGGTCCAAAAGCACCAGTGCATACTGTCACAGCACGGGTCCTGCTGCTGAATCCTCCCCGTCCACTGCCGCAAATAACACCGGCAGGTCGTCCGGCGAGGAAGAGGAGAAAGACGGCGGGGTCCCGTTTTTCGTCAACAGGACGGGCTTTCCCATAGAGAGTGTCACCTGGGAAAGAATGTGGTCTCATGTCGCCAAAGTTCACCCTGATGGACAGGAGATGGTGGACAGAATACGAAATGCAACACTCCTCCCTAAAGTAAGTAGAACGGAGGGGATTATGTTTGTCTGCGCTTCAAAACATCAAGCTGCATCCAACATGTTTTGGGGAGACATCATAGATGCTCAAAATACCTTAACACCTTTTTTGGCTATCATATTGATCTTGAGTATCACATTGCCCATGTTGTGTTGATATATGATACCTCACAATGTTGCCTTGAAGTGTGATACCCCAAAATGTTGTCTTGGTATGCAGATGATTTAATATGATCCCCAGAAGCCTGTTACCCCAAATTGCTGATAGAATATGTGATAAATATACAGCTGCAATCAGAATTATTAGCCCCCCTGTTTATTTTTCCCCAATTTGTCCTAATTCCTATCGAAAATTAAAACTTAAAGTGGCTAATAATTTTGACCTTAAAATTTTATTTATTCATTTTTTTTTATTAAAAACTGCTTTTATTCTAGCTGAAATAAAACAAATAAGACTTTCTCCAGAAGAAAAAACATATTATCATACATACTGTGAAAATTTCTTTGCTTTGTTAAACATCATTTGGAAAATATAAACAAAAATGTAAAAAGGGTTTTCTTAGTGTTGGCAGATTTTTTTTCTCTTATGAAGATTAACTCTGGTTTTATCACCATCAAAAACTCTGTGGTTTTAGTTTTAACCACAATATTCACGGCTAAACCTTTTTTAGAGAAGCTGAAATCAATACAACAAACAAACAAACAAACAAACAAACAAACAGTTTCTATACATTTACTACATTAAACTATAAAAGGGTTGCGAAACATTATATGTGTGTTTTTGTACAGATGTCAATGTACGATTGGACAATATACAGTGGTTCTTTTATATTTTTAATAAATGTTTGAAGTACTAATTAAGTACAGAACAAAATGATTGTTTTATATCCTGGTATATATATATGTATAGGTATACAGTAAGTACAAATTTACCTCTTTCATAGGTATCAGCATAGAATACCTAGTATAGGATACATGGTACCATCCTGTTGTTTTCTGATGCTGGTGTTCAAATGTTTGGCGTCTATTAGATTTTTGGTGACACTTTCTGCTGTTTGTTTGTTTGATTGATTAATTTATTAATGTAACACTATTTAATTTCAATCAGGTTAAGAAATACAATTAAATAATTTTAAGTTAAAAGGTTAAAATTAAATAAAAATTTATATGAACTAAGATTAATAAGTGTTTTTCCTTGTTAGTTCATGTTAAGTGGAGTTCATGCAAAAATGAAAAGTAAAATAGGTTAATTTACTTCCCTCCAGGCCATCCAAGATGCAGCTGACTTTATTTCAGTTAAACATTAAAGAAGATATTTATCTAAAATTGTGGTCTTTTAGCGGAACTTAAAGAGTATAAACATTTACAAGAAGAATAAAATTAAAGCCAGAGGCTCCTAATGATACATCGAGGTCTTAAGGAGCAAAAACAATTGGTCTGTGCAAAAATAAGTAAATAAATAAACAGCTGTTAACTAGATTTTTATGAATATCCAAGTACCCCAGTTACAGCAGTGGACATCAACATTGGCCTATATAGGAAGTGTCAGGCACATTTACGGGAAAAGTGTGTTTATATTTAAATGCCGTCTCTCAAACTGCCATTTGCTTGACCCAGTTTCCACACAGAGGAAGTGTAGACATGTGAGCGGATTTACTCATCCATGCCTTTTCCAACACTGTGCTATATTGTCCCTTGCCATAATTTCATTACAAACCAGTCAAACGAGAGCTCTGGTCCAGTCACCGACAGCTATGCAGAAACATTCCTCCATTAATACACATTAAATGAGTAATGATGCCATGTGACCTTCCCTGAAAAAAGTGATTCACTTGATTTACTACATTAAGTTTTTAAGTATGTAGTTGCAAACAATTTATATGGGCTGAATGTAAACAAACGAGTAATGTTCAACTTAGCCCATATAAATTATTTGCAGTCACTATACCTTAAAAACGCATAGTAAATCCAATAAATCATTCTTTTTTAGTGTTGTAGGACATCAGAATTAAAGACGTTGCCATTTTATTAGTTCGTCAATGTTGCTTTAACCTCCAAACTTGTATATCTGATCAGGCTTAATAGAGCATTCAAACGAAGGACCTCAAAGGGGATAAAGCAAGTCTTAATCACAGACTGAGTAATCCTCAGTGCTCAGACGTACGGCATTCGCAGGGTCAAGCTGTGTGTGTTTATAGTGGCTCTTTTGTTTTAGTTAACACTATTGTGCATTCCTACACTCTCCGATGTGCTGATGCGTGCAGAACAAAGGCGTCTGATTGGTCAGAAGTGCCGAGTAAGATCCCCAGATGTTAAAGTGATTTATTAAGGGACATTCCTCACCAGTTGGTGTTGAACAGGTGTGTGGAGTCAGTCCGTCAGATTAGGAGTCACTCAAATGATTGCGACTCCAGCCAAACATTTGTGCTGGATCTGTTAGATTGAGAGTGACATTCCATGGCAAAGACTGTATTGATATAGAATCAGTGTCCTGTGATAACCTTGGATATGAGGAAACTGCACTTATTGTGTAAACAAGACACATAGCTGTGCAGCAGGGTTAGGGTTGGTGCAGAATATTTGAAAGTTAAATTAGCTGTATTTGTACAGGACAGAATGTGTTTGTTCTTTATAACACAGCTGTACTTAGGCATGTCACGATATCTATTTTTTGTGGTATGATCTATAGCACCAATATTTATTGCGATTATATTTTTGTGATATTAAGACCATTTTGATACTGTAATAGCATCAAAATGCAAGTACACTTCCAAAAAAACACATTATATTTTGAAAAATTTTTAAATTCTTCACATTTTTCGAGTGCCTTGGACTGATTCTTGTTGTTGTTTTGATGAATCCCTTACCCAAAGAGCACCGACCAAACATTTGAGTTACCCCAAAGCGCTTTTTGTTTGTTTTTCCTGGATTAAAACACATTATATTTTACTTTTAAGAATGTTTCATTTAATCAGTCATTGTAATGTACAGAGTTCATACACATTTTTACTACTAAAATTCCATGACTTTTTCAAGACTTTCAAGTCCAGTTTCATGCAATGTCTTCATATGCATGGTAAAAGAAAAACAAAGCATGTTCAAATTTATTACTGCATATCGTAATACATGCAGCAATGATCTATTTAGTTTAAATTTATATCAATGTAAAATGTATTTAGATAAGGATTACACTACACTAATAATGTGAGATCATGTGATTGGCCAAGGACAGAAAAGAAGTACAGACAACTAACCTATATTCAAGTATACAAATATCTGTTTTCCATGACTTTTCCAAAACTTTGTGGTTTTTTTAAGGTTTTCCAAGGAAAATGTCAAGTCAAAATTCCATGACTTATCCTGGTTTTCCATGACCGTATGAACCCTGATTGTAGCAATTTAATAGTTGGAATCAGAAACATATATGCTAAACAAATAAATAATGAAAAATGTTATCAAAAAAGTACAATTTAGAAAGAACTAGAAAAAAATTGACTGATCTATTTTCATTCCTCAGGCACCCATGAAACTATACTATAATAATTTATAGTAAATACAGTAGTGTTTTTAACCATACTGACACACCTTCAATAGAGATAGAGAGGCTGTGCAATCATCTAAAATGTGGCGAATTGGTATTTATGTATAGGCGATGTATACTGCATCACTAAAAATGATTGAGTTCATGTCTATGTGTTGTGCGATAAGTCAGTATATTTATTATTGTGCCTAGTTGTACTTTTAAAATAATGCTTTGATGTAATCCATTTGCTAAAGTGCTATTAGGGGTAATCCGTCTAATTCCTGTTTGCCTGCAAATAAATATACCACTGTTTCCACGAAAATATTAATCATGAAGTTAAAAAAAACATAAAATGACAGTAGGCCTGCATGATTAATCGTTTTCAAATCGATAATAAATCTGTGATTTTTTTCAATGCGCTACCAAATGTGGTATTTTTATAGCATATAAGCATATTTTTGAGTTCGTAAGCACATTATCCTGAACAATGTAAATAAAAGTAACACAATCTAAATTAATCTAAATAAGTTTTAAAGGTGTTATATACAGTATACATTTTTCAACACATTTCTAAACAATAGTTTTAAGAATTCATTTCCAATAACTAATTTATTTTATCTTTGTCATGATGACAGTAAATCATATTTGACTAGATATTTTTCAAGATACTTCTGTACAGCTTAAAGTGACATTTAAAGGCTTAACTAGGTTAATTAGGTTAGGGTAATTAGGCAAGTCATTCTATAGCGATTGGTTTGTTCTGTAGACTTTCGAAAATAATGTAGTTAAAAGGGGCTAATAATTTTGTCTATAAAATGGTGTTTAAAATATTGAAAACTGCATTTATTTTAGCCGAAATAAAACAAATAAGACTTTCTCCAAAAGAAAAAATAATATTAGACATACTGTGAAAATTTCCTTGCTCTGTTTAACATCCTTTGGGAAATATTTGGAAAAAAAAAAATTCAAAGGGGGGCTAATAAATCGGACTTCAACTGTATATAATATTTTTTATATAATTCATTTAATTAAATAGAAAATACTGTATTTAATTTCATAGTTGGTCATAACAACTGGCAACTTTATTGGAAAGAATTGCAACAACATTTAAGAGATTTCATTGTACATATTGTAGTGTTCTTTGTGATTATGCTTTGTCTTTCTTTGATGCTGTTAAAACCACTGCATCAAACTTGTAGCTCTTCTATGAAATGGTAGTAAATCACATTTTAATTCACAATTTTCATCAGATAAATTGCAATTCGATGTGTTTTTCTCCAAATCATGCAGCTCTGAAGGATCATGAGCACTGTTGAAAATACAGCTTGACATCAAATAAATAAATTACATTTAAAAATAAATTTAAACAAAATTAACTACTAACTTCACAATATTAATGTTTTCATTGTATTTTTATAATAAATAAATACAGTCTTGATGAGGATTTGATCATTTTATTAAAGCATTAATCTTTGTAA